TAAAAATTAATAATTTTCAAATTTAATAATTAAATTTTAGATAAGATCTTAGGTTTATTTTATTAATATATTTGTTAATTACCAAATAAATAAATCCAATCTTAAATTAGAACTAAAAAAAATTATATAAAATCATATTATAATTTATTAACATCTCAAATAAATTATCTTTATTTATTATTTACAAAATAAATTCCTATTTATAAATCGGCGTGTCCGACACGTGTCGGAGGAGTGTCGGACGAGTGTCGTGTCGGATACGGTGTCGGACACTGCACGCCTCTTTGAGGAGAAGTGTCGGTGCATCATAGGGTTGTGCCTATGCTCGCCACTCAATCCCTTCGCTTACCGCTCGATCCCTCACTCTCACGCTCTCTCAACTATCGCACACTGCCTTGCCCTCTCCCTCGCTCATCTCTCACAATTATAGGAAGGCAAACTCCCTTCACCTTCTCCATCTAAACGCTGGAACGACACTCTCATCTCCTCTTTATCTTCCCAAAGCAGCACCGTTCAAGTGACAAAACGACTATGATACCGAACCTCTTCGCCTCATTCATATCCTTTGACTTCGTCATCCTTCAACTTCTAGGAGACCAATTGACGCCTCCTTCAGCCTCTCCATCTTACGTCCAGGTAAGGTTAGGATATTACTGGAGAGAAAATAAGAAAATCTATAGAATGTTAAATGAACTATCGAGTTTCAAAAATGGCAAAATATCTACTATATCAATCAAAAATTTGACATAAGTCCCAAACTATTACTCATCATCCCATATTTATAGGGCTCGGAGAGCTATAAGAAAGACAATACAAATACAACACAGCAATAATAGTAAGCCTTTATCCCACTACATAGGATCACCTACATTAATCTTTTTTCTCCATTCTGTAATGTTAAAAGTTAAATCCTCATTTAAATTTAATCAGAAAAAGTCATTTCTAAGTAAAAAAAACAATGCTACATAGATCACCCATACAATGCTACACAATAACTTAGACACTTGTCGTCCCATGATTGGTCGAGGGAGAGTTTGAGTTGCAGAGTTTCATATATCTATCTATGGGAAAGCTCAATAGTTTATGCACTATGCAAGCTCTATAGTGTGGGCGAGCTTGGTAGTGCCAAGTAGGAGTGGGTAAGCCTGTAAGCGAGTTCCAAGAAGAAGGTGCTTGAATGCTCCAGCTTGGTAGTGATCTACGTTAATCCTTGGATCGCTTAGGTGAGAGTTGAGTGATCTATGATTGTGGATAAGATGGGCTCAGTGATCGGCCGATCATCATAGGGTGAGCTAAGGGCCCTCTAAATTGTCTCTTTCCTATAGATGTCTGTAGAAGATGATTGCTCATGGATAGAGCAAGTGTTCTAAGTCACTCAATTGAGAAGTGCGTGACTGAAGTGGTGGTATAGGTATGTGACGAGTTGTTAGTCTGAATAAGAATCCCCAAGTTCACCCCATGGAGGGTGAGCTTCTTGGTAGGCCCAGGTGAGTAGCATCTAGTGATTACTTTGGGCAAATCCTCTATGAGTTCCTAAGGAATAGCACCTCTTGAAAAGTGAGTTTCATCTATGGGCCCCCCTTGAGGGTGAGTTCCTCTTCATAAGCTGTCAACTACTTATTGTATACCTATAAAGCATATGCAAGTATACATTTAATTCTCCGATTCACTTGGCTCCTTGAGAGGCAAGTGGCAAAAAGTACGAGTGAATGTTTGTCTTAAACCATTAATTATTTCAAGCCTTGTTAGCAGAAATTTCCAATTAGAAGCTTTCAAAATATATTTCAAACATATTACGAATTTGATTTCATTTGGAAGCAAGTTAATAAAACATAAATCAAACATCTAACTTACACATTTCTCATTTATATTGAGGCTTAAATCACATTGATAATATCATTCATTAATTCAATGTTCAGACATTTTGTAAAGTGTAACTTTCCAAATCCAAATTGTATTTAGTTTGTAAGCAAGCATGTTCATTGTAAACACCAATTTAAGGAACTATGAGAGATTATTGCATTATAAAAATTGACTTCATCGATCAACTCCAAAGCTGTGGATAACTTTGTTGTCGAAAGATATGAAAATTTTCAAGCTTATGCCCTGAACCACTAGAAGCATGATGTTAGCTTGAGCTCGCTCTAAAGTAGAAAGAACTTGATGAAATGCAGTTTTTACTTGGTCTTCTTTCATATGGCTAAGAATTGACTGAAAATACTGAAAACTAGAGGGCTGCCTCATCTTAGTCTCTTGTTTTGAGAGTTTGGTGAGCCTAATCTCTTAAGGATTAGGTGTTAGGGTTGCACTCAGCTGATGTAGGAAAAGTATTGTGTTACATTCACCCATTAAAAGATGTTTACATGCTTGTAGCATGGGGTAGAAGAATCCTAGTCCAGGTATTAGCTAAGCGTGGATGTAGGCCCTGGGATTGGCTGAACCATGCTAAAATAAAAGTGTTTACATTTCTCTATAGTTTTACATTACCCTACAATAATCTATTTTTATTTACTCCTTGGCTTCATTACTTAGTCGTGAATGATCTACCTATTCATCTGCTCAATCTTGTAGACTGAAATTTATATCAAGTGCTTATATTGTCCGAAGCTCTCTTATTAGCATTACCAAATTATATGTTATACCAATGATTACTTTTTGGTCTTGAACATCATGATGTAAGTTCTGTAGCTAGTTAAGGAAAGTTGAGTTTGGAGGCAAATTTTCTAACACAAAATACAATGAAATGCTTTTTTTGTTAAAAGATTAAATCCTTGTACAATAAAAATGGAATATAAGTGCATAAAAAATAAATAAATAAATAAAAGTGAGACTTATGCACTAGTTAGTATTTAATTTTTACAAACATTGATAAGCATGCATAAACTATTCAATCAAGATTAAACATTAAGAAAAAATAAATCTAGTTTTTTTATGTTTTAAAACATAATAAGCAGCTGATTAAGGATTTTTTTTTATTTTGTGGATCATACTCACAAACATGAGACACTCAAGACTTAATAGGTGGCGTAGGCTTTATATTAGAATTGGCTGGCTTTATGTAATGATGAACTATTTGGAGGTCACGAATTAATTCATCTAGTTGACAAATGGCATGCCAAGAATCCTATATTTCTATGCAATGATAAATATACCAAGACAAAGAATTGAAAGCAAGTGTTGCAGATATTACTCACAAGTGCCTATCAAATCACCACTTGTTGATGTTTGTAGGAGATGCTTTGATTACTGCAGTGGGTGTTCCTCGTTTCATTGTATCTTTAGAAATCCTTGGATGCTTGACATCGAGCAACCTTGGAGCCCTATCTATTATACCCATATAATGTAGGTGGTGGGAGGACCTTGCGTAGAATACAGGCACTTTACTTGGTGCTGGAGTATAATGGTAGAGAGGAAATCCTTGGAGTAGTGAAATGGTGATTGGGGTTATAATTGTGGAGTTTAAGTGTGTGGCTAAGAGGATATATGAAAGGGAGATATTTTGTGAAATCAGGTGTGAGGGTTGCGACTAGGGGTAATATAGGCTAGATTGAGAGTTGGGTGAGATCTATTACATATAAGGTTATGAGTGAGATGTATGGAGAGCAGCGGAAAGTGGAAGGCTTGGGAGTATATTAGTGTTGATGGGAAGGACCTAACTCAAAAGCACCTTCTAAAGTTTGGAGGTTGTGCAGGGCTGAGGAAAGAGGCCGGGAGCCATGGTGGAGTTTGGAATTATTGTGGAATTGTAGAGGAAGGCAAGGTAGAACCTAAATTAGGGTTTGAAGAGGCAACCAAGAGCTAGAGGCAGAGAGGGATAGAACACAAAAGTGATAAAACATGAACACGCCAAAGTCAAAAGAATAAGATCAGCTTACAAGCTTACCTAAAGAATTTGCTCATAAGAAAAACTCAATAATTCATTCACTAATGTTGAAAGATTGACTTCATATGACACTTGATTTGAAGATTGTACTGAATACAAGGAGAGGGTCAGTCAAACTAGCTTCAAGCCTCTTGATTATAAATTTTGGATGCTACAGTTGATGATGATCTTTTATTTTGATTTAGTGCTCTGATGATAACAATGATCATCTAATGTTGGTGCCGCATCATTGGGTTCCGCATCAAAATTTTATCTCCAATCACATATCCAAAGCGAATATTCTAATAGCTCATACTCCAAATGATTATATGTCAATTTAAATCACCGTAAAAATTATCAACTATTCCTCAAGTATTTGTTGTAATGGTTCATTCCCATCTTCCTGAAATTAGTTTCTCAAAATATCTTCTACTCAAACATGAGAAACATAAGCAACAACTGCACATAAAATATTATAATTTATAACTAGCTTAATACTAATCACCCCATCACAAACCATATTCACCTCAATTTTTTATCATCCAACTCCCTATTAACTACTATCTCAATCTTATTTCTATTGTTAAACATTACAATATATAGTAACTTATAACTTTCAATGTCCATGATTTTTTTTTTTTCTTTCCAATTAACTCCATGTAGCAAGTCAGATATTAGTTTAGGCCTACTCGATCCCGGCCCAATTTTCCTCATAGTTAGGTTAAGTTGTGGCATATAATTTATAGTAGACATCCTAGCCAATTTTTATTTACTTCTAATCAAATTACTAACTTATGGTTGTTGTCATAACAAACTTTTTCCCAGTCACCACATTCAGATCATGGGATCACTTCTAGGGAATACCCTAGCATTAAAAAAATTCAAATTTAGATTTACTTGATGATATCAGGCATTAGTTTTATAATTGCCTACCAAACAAACATCAACAACCAACTTTTCTTTTTAAAGCCTAGGAACAGCAATGACGAATTTCAGGATCACAGAAAATAAATAAATAAATAATGAAGATAACAGAAAGAAAGGGGCGCCATTGAGGATAACAGATAAATGGAATTATCCAAATAACTAAGAAGACAACCAAAAAAAGGAAAAGATACAACCATTATATCCAGCATACCTGTAAGACTGGATTTGGCCGATCACAGCAGTAATACTCAATTCTGAGAAAGGAATTTCTCACTTTGGACCCAAAGACGATTGCAACAAATCTCCTGGAATAATAAGACAAATAAGACCAAAAGCAAACAATAGAAGTTGAAAAATATGTGATAGATTGCATCATTTAAAACAAAAAACTGTCAAGAAAAAAAAATATTATGTTTTGATAAAAAAGTAACATAACCTTGATCTTTAATAGATCAGCATTTTCTCTATCAAACTATCCGAACCTATTTTCATCATTAATTATACCTGCTAAGCCCTTCGTGATTCCTCCACACCCAACAAACACATAAATGGGAAAGAAAAAAGCAATGACGTGATTGAATTAAACATGGGTTAGGTGGCAAAATTTGAATGAGGGGCTGTTTAGGGATTATGTAATTTTTCTTTTTCTTTAATTAGTTTAGCATGTTAGGGTTTGGAGGCATCTAAAATTTGAAATCAAATTTGGGATCTAGGGTTTGTTCTTTTGCGCTCTAGGCTTGGCAAGAGATTTAGAGAGTTGTTTCCTCCTCTCTAATTGAAGAAACTTGTCTCGTTTGATGTTTTTCTGCATTTACTAGTGGAATTCTTCAATTTTGCTCAGTTTTCTTCTGTTTTCCCAAGAAACCTGCTGTACCGTTGCTGTTTTCTGCTGTAATCAGCAGTTTCTCTCACTGTTTTTCATCAATTATTGTTAGTTTGCTTGCAAACTCAAGTATTTCCCTTAGGGTTACTTGCAAACTCAAGTACTTCCTAACAGATACTTCTGATAAAAGAGCCAAATTAGAATCAAAACTATATGAATTGTTTTTTTCAGCATCTCTAGGTATAATTACAACTCTTTGATATTATTCTCGAAATGTCAAGAACTTCTACCCTTCTAAACCAACAACATCTTCACTCCATCTCTGCCATATTGGACTTACAACAAGTCCTTCACCTCACTCCATCTCTGCCATATTGGACTTACAACAAGTCCTTCACCTTCATCTCGACCTTCCTAGACCCACAACAACCTCCTTCCTTCCACCTAACAAATTAGCAGGATCCTTCCTGCCACCTCACAAATTGCGAGATACCTAGTGGTGCAAGAAAACATCTATGGGCTATACTTTTTGTAATAAATTTTGAAGCAATTTTTTAGACCTTAATTTTTGCATATTTCTTGTATGATGCTTTCTTATAATTGTATAAATTACACACAAATTGGAATCAAACTCACAACTATTCTCCAATTCTTGCCATGGTATCAAAACTCTCAGTCTCAGCAAATATTCACTTAGGGACTCGGTCCGAGGAAGAGGATGCCTAGCGATGTGAGCTCCTCCAATTGCATTCCCTCCAATGTCAAATTTCAAATTCGGTCACTTAAAATTCATCCTAATCTCTGAAATAAGAAATTTTATAATTTATGTTCTTTCTACTTCTGCGAACACCTTGGTGCCATGACTTTTCTCTTCATTGAGGACAATAACAATGTTCATATTCCATTGGTCTCAAATTGCTTTGAGATTGAGGGATGCAATTTGAATCTAAAATGAGAGTTACAAAATATCCATTCAACACATTGATTGGAAGAGAAGATCTATCTTAACTTGTTATAATTGGTTTGCACATTCTTGAAGAAAAGAGGAAAAGTGGGTCATTTACTTTGTATCAGACCTAAGCAAAAATATAATATGTTTGAAGTTGTGGTTCCGTAGACAAATAATGCATGCATGTTCCTCCATTTAGCAAAGAAAATAAGGGATATGATAAATCAAACGTATTGTAAAATTTGAGATGCCACACAAATTTATGAAGCCAAGTCCAAAATCTCTTCCGCAAAAAAAGGATGATGATCTATCACAAGATATTATGATCTATTACAAAGCGTAGTGGACGAGATGGATTATTATCAATGCATCAAAATAGAATGTTGTAAAGATACAGCTCTTCTAAAAAGGTTTGTTGAAAAAGACTAAATATATTATTTATTTGCTAGATTAAATGTTGAGTTTGATATTGAAAGGATACAAATTCTCAGAAAAAAGGATCTAACATCACTAAACAAAATCATTGCCAATTTTCAAATTGAAAAAGGAGAAAGAGGAGTTTTGATCACCAACAAACCAATGGAGGGCTCGAGCTTAGTATCAAAAGCTGCTAACATCAAGAACTCTAATTCAAAGCCTGCTCCTATTGAGAACCACAAGCAACCCATCCTAGTAAAGCTGATCAATAAAGAAACTCTATGATGTACATACTGTGAGAATGCTCGATTATAAAAAGGAAAGATACTAAAAACTTCATGATATACAATAAAAAATTGGATAGTGCAAGAAGAACAGGCAAAAGAGTAGAGAAATGAACATATAATATATATAGGAGAAGATAACTGTAAAGAACCACCAATAAAGTTCTATAAAGAAATGTAAAAGTTGAAAAAGTTTGTTGGAAGTACAATATTGCAGAAAAAATGGCCACAACAAGAATTTATACTCTAGTATTCTCACGTATTTCCTTATCTTCTCATACTTTTAAAGTTACAAAGATGCCCATTTTTAGCTCGTGGATCAATGATTAAAGAGCTACATAACATATGACTCCTTTTAAAATTTTATTTTATGTACTCATAGTTCTAGAAACAAGAAAATAATCGTTGCTGGTAGATCCTTAATAAACCATGGTCAGTAAAAAATAGTTATCCTAGTAAGCAAATCCACACACTTTGAAATGTCCTCTATGTACTAAAATTATTTACCAACTTATTATATATTCAAAAGCTAAAAAAGGCATTATATAAGTTGAATCAATCTCCAAGGGCCTGATTCGAAAAGTTTGTCAAGATATTGCTCAACATGGGATACAACAAATAAAGGAGACCATATATTATTTGTAAAACACAACTTTATGGTGAGTCTTAACACTACTAGTTTATGTTGATGACATTATCATGACAAGTAGTGAGTTGGAATGAATGAAGAACTTAAGGAAACGATTGCTCCATAAATTTGAAAGAGAATTAGGTAAGCTAAAGTATTTTGACTGGAATTGAGATTGCACACTAACAATCTTGTTGAAAGATGCATATAAATTACGATGCAAGGTGGTCAAGAACCCTATGGAATTCACTCATAATTTTGAAAATCCTCCATAAGACATGGAATTCATAAAAAAACACCCATCAAAGACTTGTGAGAATACTTATGAATTTACCACATACAAGACAAGAAGTTGCCTATATTGTCAGTGTTGTAAGCTAATTCACACATAATCCCAAAGAACCGCATCTTAGTGCAATACATACAAGCTTGGAATGGATAATATCTCATTCATTCACTTAAGAAGTGTGAAAATGTCCTAGAATTTTGCTCCTCTTGGACTCATCAAACTCACTCAACTATTCTTCAATTCTTGTTAGTAATGTCAAAGCTAAATTTTCCAAATGTTGATAACTTGTGATGCTTCCAGAAAAACTACAACCCATTTCAAACGTTGCACTTCCATAACAACAAAATTATGGCAAGCATATAATAATGTTTACCACATTTCCATATTCTTTCAATGAAATAAAAATGAATACAACAAACTCCCATAATAGAGGAATGCAAGGGAAAAAGAATATTTCTCCTTTTATTTGCATCATGAAATGAGGCTTCCATAGGTATCAAGATGAATTCATCTAGTCTAGATGAATTCGCATAAAAATCAGTCAAGCTTCACATGTAGTCAAAAAAGCTCGTGTTAGATTCCTTCATTAAGCTAGTCGATATTGAATAGTTATTTTGGGCTTTTTTTTCTAAACGAATCAAATATAAGTAAAACCTTATATATATATATATATATAATAAGCCAAATATGAACACACTACAAGCTTGGTCAAGTTCGTCTCTTTAACTGAAAGAAGGAACTTAAACATAAAAGAAGAGAATATCAATAATGCATAATCCAAATGCTTTTTATCTCCTTCCATTAAACCACCCAAAGCTAAGACACCAAAGCAACAAGTTCATGATTCCACAATCATTCCCCTAAGTGCACATCCTCGTTGGGAAAATCTGACCTGTCAATTAGGCCCAGAGAAAAGTGATGCTCTAATTTTATCCAAATGGGGCCTTCATCTTTCACACAATTCACCTCCTCAAATCGCATGTATCCTAATTTAGAGAAACCATCAACTTCAGACTTGGATCCTATGAAAATTGGCATCTTCACTAAGCTCCTTTGATCCCATTAAAGTAAATTCAATAAAAAAACAAGGAAACTGGTAAGCCAGCATTCGATTTAATTCCAAGGTCTCTTACTAACCATCAGCGAGACAGCATGGTAGCTTATCTCAGTAGAACATTCTCCAAAAGCACACTGTTTTATTGGGTTGAAACTAAATAACTATTCAGACTTGCCCAAGACAAAATTTCTCATCTTTTATCAGATCACGCCTCTTGTTCTTCTGTTACATTCTATAAGAAAGTATACCGGCAACGAATCTACAGAAAAAGAAATTTATACGCAAAAATACAAATAACAAAAGCACAATGTTAGCCAATCGAATGTTTTCTGGTTTTGGTTTTTTATTAATAAAGTGATGGGACATTGAATGATTTTATCCTTACAGAAAGTAATCGTAGGCGCCGGAGGTGATGAAGTAGTGGATTCGCTCGACAAATGTGCCCTGGAAGATGGGCCAATGACCGCAGAGAAATGAAACCACAACGAGCAACGTTATGACGCCGTGCACCGCCAGAGCCCACTGCAGCCCCATAGTCCACGTAGAAGAGCCCTGGCTTCTTCACTTCTACCGGTCTCAGAACTGAATAAGAGATTAGGGTTTCAAAATGGGAATAACGTCAATTGCTTCGGGAATTTGGACTGCAGAAACCCGTGCAAAAGTGTAGGCAGACTTCCAACCCTCTGCTCTGCTGGACGTTTCGGTTGAGAAAACAAGATGGAAGGGAAGGTGAGGGTTGTTAGCTTTCAGAGGAATGCTGGATTTGTCAGAATAATTGTTGAAAGAGAACATTATGGATGTTTGAAAGTTATAGATTTAAGTGCATTTTAAAGATTTTTATTTTTTTTGGATGAATGAGGGGTTATAGACATATTATAAAAAAATATATTTATTTATTTATTTAATACTAAAACCTTTATTTTTAATATTTTCTGATATAAATTTTTTGTTTTGAAGTGAGAATATAAAGTATGTTAAAAATTTGTTGTCAAATAAATGCTGAATTTTAAGTGCATTATCATTTTGAATCTAAGCAAAAGAGAATGGTTTATATGATTTTTTGTTCTTCTTTTTCATTATAGTTTTTAAAAATTTAGAAGTTGATGTTCAATTAAATTAAAATGAATAAAAAGTTATTAAATAGACGGATGTGCAAACTCATAAATTTGATTTATGTCAAAAAAAAAAAAAAGAAATTACAAGCGACCACAAATCCCAAACAAAAATTACAAATAAATTAAGAAGCATTATCAAACGACTCAATCATAAGAAATCAAACCTCTACAAAAGCATAGGAAAGCCTAAAATAAGCTCCATCTCATTAAACATGCCAGAATTATCCATCAAGAGGTCTGCTTTCAAGTCACCCGAAAATTTTTTGTGGATAATTGTGCTTCCCTTATGTTGGTGGTTTCAAGTTTATGCCTTTCTAGGTGAGAAAGGTAATTATCAAGTTACTAATTTAAGTTTATTTATTAATCTTCTCAACACTTACTCTAAACCCTTTTCCTTTTCCCCTTCACATCCTTAGCATCATCTAAGACCAACAACTCAAAATCGAAAGCCAGATAGCCAAACCAAACCTTCTTGTATAGCTCTCGGTCAAATAAGGAACTTAACCATCTACTCTTCTTTTCTACACTGCCATACCCTCTTAAACTCAAATAAATTCTACCTACTACTATAGATCGAATTTATGCATCCTAAGCTAACCCTTCATAATCATTTCAAGCTATTTACGTAGCTTAAAACCCATTCTACAAACTGTTATTTCAAACTAGCTTAAATTAGCCCAATTTTAACTAGCCCTTATATTTCTTCCATCAAATTCATCTAAGCCTCTCACATTTTCACCAAAAACTCCAAATAAAATTCTTAAACAATAAACTTAAAAAATATAACTATGTCTAGCCTGTAATATCACCTAAAGGCCACCCAAGACCATTATATTTAGTATTAGAGTAAGTATGGGAAGGAATAAAATCTAAAACTAGACCATATCTAAAATCTTTTCATGTCAGCTGGGTCAACTATAAATCTCTTTCCATCACAATTAGATTTCTTATTTACATAAAGATTACCATTTATGAAGTTGAAATCATTTGTGATATCCTCCTCATGTTAATTAGGCCTTGGTTGTATGACTTAAGTGTGGTCCATTATGGTAGGAGAAATACATGTATATTCAAATATAATAACATAACCATCAATCTTTTGCCTATTAATCATTTAAAGAGGACACCATCCATGGTATCCCATAAATCAAACTTCGATTAACAACCGAAAGTTACTCTGAATAGGTATTATGCATCAATTGATTATCATAAAAATACTATAATTGAGGATAATATTATCATTTATGATCCTAGTATAAAAACATCTATTTTATTTGATTTTATGAATTCAATTATAAAAATCATAGCATTTGAAAACTTAAAATAAAATGGAGGAAGTAATACTTAATTCTAATGAGATTCACATATTGGTTATTATCTAACCTCTTCTTTTTTTAGTTTAGTGATATAATACTTGATAAAATTCTCAATAAATTACCAGCATGCCATTGATTTAATCCTCGGATCCCAACTCCCAAACCTTCTCTACTATGAAATGAATCTCATTAAGCAAATTAAGATCATAAGATAAGTTTAAGACTTAGAAAATACTTTGTGTAAGAAAGTCTTAGTCATTGTATAATTCCAGCCTTATCAACCTCTAAGGAAGATGACACATGAAAAATGTGTGTTAATTATCATACTATTAATAAAATCACTATCAAGCACGTATATATTATCTCTCCATTTGATGATATGTTGTATTTAATCTTAAGAGCAAATTTTTTTCTAAAAATTATTTAAAAATTGATTATTATCAAATTAGGATTTGGTCACGAGATGAATATGACTTGCTTTTAAGACCTTTCATGGACTTTACAAATGGTTAATGATGCTATTTTGATTTTTGATTGCCCCTAGCATATTTATGAGGTGAATGAACACTAACCTAGACACTTTATTGAAAAGTTTATACTTCTATTTTTAGATGGCTATTAAATTCTTAAATTATGTGAAGAATACCATCTACAACATCATAGAAAAGTTTTTGAATTCCTTAGAAAAGAAAAACTATACAGTAATTGAATTCATTATTTTCACTACTAATATAAAAAATGTTTCTTTTAAGGTTTAGGAAATTGTAGACTAGCCCTTACCTGTGAGTTTTGTTAAATTAACAAAAAAAATTCATAGTCTAATTATTTTCTATTGAAGATTCACAAACTAATGCATTACATTAATATTTTGACTATTAATCTTATAAAATCTCAAAGTGAGCCCATGGACGATCCCTCATCCCTCTAAAATTATTGGAGAATAAATAAGAAGGTTAATTTAAAGTTTCTTAAATGGTAGGTTGGGAAAACTTATTAAGGAGGTTAAGATCATCAAAGAATGCTTGACTTCACAACCAACCCACTTAACTAATTTGGCATGGAAAAATTCTTATGCTCATAAAAGCTTTAAACTTTTGAATTTTTTATTTATCTTCTTTTCCTTTATTTTAGAATAATTCGTAAATCAATGTAATAGTATTTCATTGCCTCTTAAGGCTTTCTAAACTTTGTTAGGCTTAGAAAAGGCCTAATTATAGGGTCTTACTTTATAATTTTGATTTCATTGAATAAAATTATCTTTCTTGTGTACAAATATCATATGAATGTATTTGGCGGTTACTCTATTCTTTAGTGATGCTTTGTGACTAATTCCCTAGGGCTTTGGTGTATCCTTACTTATCTTTTCCACCTCTTACTCCTCAGTCCCAAAATAATTCTCTTCTATTCCACATAAGGCTTGTCCAACACTAATCATAACCTTCATCAACCTAAGGCACCTCCAATGCCTTAAAGAATGTCTTACACATTTTCCCTAAACCCTTATAACTTTTTAAGGCCTCAAATTCCCTTTAAACCCTAGATATCATAGTCAAAAGCCCAATATATATAGAAAAATTAATATTATGAGCAACTAAATTAAAAAATCATATGCCCTTAAACACTAACCAAAACCTATAAAAATATCGTTATTAATTTCCTAAATTACTAAAACTTTGATCGAGATTTCCTCACTCTTTTCATTCAAGAGAACTTACCACTTTGAAGCCTGACAGCTTCCATATTTAAATCCTTTTAAAATCTTGAATACCCTTTTTCCGCCATTCATATAACCCTTCAATAAGCAACATAATGGGACCTTAATTAGATTGCTACTATTAATGTGATTATATAAACAAACATCATATTAGTATCAAAGACTAGCTCCATAGAATCCAAGTTCAAGGATATTGAAGGTCTACATTGACCTAGTAGAAATCAAATATTTTCCTAACAAGATTTAGTTGTTCAAGACTAAAAAGATCATTATTGATATCCCAAATATTTTACATTATAATACAACTAAAGACTTTTTTTCTTAGTAAAGATTATTATTGCTATCCCAAATATTTATTTTTTTTATTTGATAGTTCTTTGTTAAAAATATATATGTTAATTGGCAACTTTAGAAGAATCTTCCTTTATCCAAGTTATTAACACAAATAAAAAATCTAACATAATTGTTTTGTGATTCTATCATAACCTAGACTTTTCTTTAGATTACTTAAATGGTAAGGGTGTGATCTATAAAAGAAAGCATTGCATTGAATTAGAATTTGAATTTGATTTATATAGCTTATATTTCTATGATCACGATTTGAGCATTACAAGTTTTATACAATTATTACTATTTAAAAGTATTGCTTATTTTAAAAAACTAATAATTTTTTTCTTCTATTCTTGCATAGGGGAAACTATTTTAAATTGTGTCTTTAAGGTTTAATATTATCTAGAAGGTCCAAATTATCTACGGAGAACTTGAGATAATAGTTGTCCTATATCCATTTTCCTCCTAGAAGTTCTCCTAGTCTCAATTTTACTTTAATTGTATATGTATCTTTTCCATTTCTCTCATTTAACTACTAAATATTATGTTAAAAAAAATAAAGCACTACATCATACTTGCAAACATTTTTCCTAGAGCTACCACTCTATATCAAGAAGAATTTCAATATTATAAGTATAGCTTCAATCTAACCATAAAAAGAAATTAGATGTTATTAAATAATGAAAATTTTAGTATATTTCAAAATATGATTCAAATTTATGGAACTTAACTATTAGATCCAATTTTTCACCTAACTCTAAACCTAAACCTATATATGACTAGTTTAGAAGACTCCATGTCAAATAATATCAATATAGATGAAACATCAAGGTTTTTAATGATCTTTGCACATTAAAAAGAATACCTACTTTTAATAGAATAAAAAATCCTAATAAGTTTCTTGATTAGCCAAACTAAATAGAGGATTTATTTTATTGGCATAACATGGATGATTATTAATAGATAAATTTTACCACAATGAAACTTATAAGGCATGCTAACATTTGGTTGACCAATATCTTAGCAAGGGAACCTAGGAATGATATAATCCAATTGACTTGGGTTGAGATGAAATAACTCTTAAAGTTTAAATAATACCTACATTTTCATGACAAGGATCTACATAGTCAAGTAATGAAACATAAACAATAAACTATGCTTGTGACTAACTACATGAACACCTATGAGTCCCTCCAAAAAATGATAAACTACATTGATCTTTATTTATAATTTTCTACTAAGTTTATCATTAAACTCAAAAATGAAATCAAGAATGAAGTGAAATTATAATATCTCTAAATTTTAAGAGGCACTTTTTACTCCCCTAATGACTAAGAAATAGAATAACCCACAAATCCTAAGAACTTATCTTATTCAAATTCCACATCTTAATTTACTGCTAGACCAATTAACTTAGCTTGCACTACCTTCCATTTTTTTATGGTTATAACCCAATCAAATTCATTTTTCTAACAAATATGTATTATCATTAATTTTCATATGTTGTATTCACCTTTACAAAAAAAATCATAATCCATATGAATAAGTAAGGAAATAAATTTATTTAAGTGATAACAAATATGAAAATAATATGCATTTTAAATTTTCTTATAAGAAATAAAATAAAGGTAGTTATGTTTTAATTTGAATTTTCCCTTAGTATTATCACACTAATATAGTAATTTGCATGTCAGAGCTTATAATTCTTTTAAAATCTTAAAAAACTTTAATCATGTTCTTATATTCTTAAATTACCTTTTAATTCAATTTTTATTGTTAATTTTATTCTACCTTATCAAAAAATTCTTAAACCTCATGGTTTGCAAGATAACTTTATTATATGAAACAAAAGTCAAATTTTATTTGTTTCTTACACTCCATAGCTATTGGATATTGATGGAATCATTTTAGAGCAATATTATCCACTAGTGTACACTTCACTCATATTCCTAGTCTAATGGAAAAGCTAACTTGCTTTCTAAGACACTTGGATGAACAAAACAAACTCAAATAAACTTCCCATTGCTAATTGATAAGTACTTAGACTTTACCACTACACAATTAAGTTATTTGAGGTATGGAGTGGTTGATGCACCATTAACATGAAGTCCAAGGATAAGGTCACAAAGTATGATCTTACATCAAGATTTGGTTTATTCAACATCTAGAATTCTCCAAGTAAACCCATGGAAAACCCCTCATCCATTGAAAATTATTAGATAATAATTAAGAAACTTAACTTAAGATACTTTAATGAGTAGGTGATACACATATTTTTTTAATGTTATTTTACCATATAGTTTAGATCTTGATTTTTTTTAATTTATCATGCTAAAATTTAAAATTTCACATAACTAATTAAATTAAATAAATGTATATAATATAACACATATTATTGAGTATTTCTTATATGTGATTATCAAAATAAGCATCTTGGAATAAAAATACTGCATTTGGAGACTTGGAGAGCCTAGGCGCCTATACTTAAACATAGCATGAGCTAAACTCCATTTTTAGGGGTTGTATGTAATTGGTACTACTTTTATAAACTTCTGTTGAATGAAATCATGTTTATTTTTGTGTTTCCTTTGTAATGGTGTGTATTTTTATCTTGTGTTTCATGATTAATATTTCATTGACTATTAAATTAGAGGTTTATGAGGTCTATTTGAAGTTGATAAGTGGAGAACATACTCAATTATTTAATTTGTTTAGATCACTTGTGCCGTATAACATAACCTTATATATTTTAAAGCTATCATTGAGAGATACATAAGTTGTGCAAAGAGGTTACTTACTCTAGGCTTTTAAGAAAAGGGTCGGTTCCAACACATATTTGAATAGAAGAAACATTTATGTAACTTGTTGATTATTTTAAGACCAAATCTATAGAAAAAACCCTAGTGAGGTCTAATATTTAGACCTATTCATTCTGATTTATAATCTTAAGCACTCTCTACTTTATATTTTAGCTAGTAAATATTTTTAATTTTTTTATAAAAACCAACTTGGTTTTGATTATTCAAATAATGTGAAGTTAATATAATTTCAATAATTAGTTGACATAGTAATGTCTCACAAGGTGCTACATTTAAGAAGAAGATTCAATGACTTAAGATAACAAGCAAAATGGAAACCCTTAAATGGAATTTTATTTTTCTAATAGAGTTCTAAGTAGAATTTCTATTTTATGTGTGTTAATTGGTGTAAAAGACTATACAATTATGATTTATAATTCATAGTTGTAATTCTATTGTGAAAAAATATGAAAAAAATACCAATTGCCAAGTATTTATGATTGTACTCCTAATTGAAAGAGGTGGTTACACTTTACCAATGGCATTATAACTACCTTTTTGTACCACTTCAAGTGGGCTAGCCCCAACTCCTCTTTCCATTTTACTTTTTCAAATTAAAGTATTGTAAAATATCTATAAATATTATGTAATGAAAAATGAAAGATATTTTTGTTTTATTTACAAAAATAGGTGTTCCATCTAAGAAGAGGAGGCTAGATGGACAACTCAGACTTGAAAAGATTTGGTGATCTCTTCAACCATGTTGCTTTGGTGAGTAGCAAGCCAACCTTAAATTTATTATTGTTTTAAAATGTTAATGTAGAATCTCTCTACACTTACTCCCTCTCATTCTATATCCATTTATGTACATTCTCCCCATAATATCCCATCCAAAACCCCTCCTTAAAATATCAACCATAACTAGGCTAAATATGATACAATTGGATTCTACCCTCTATTTGATTTTTTAAGCCACCTTTAAATTTAAATAAAATCTTAATTATTATTTTTAATGTATTCTCTTCAATCTCTAAGTATTTTAAAATCTTGGAATGCCCACCATTTTAATCCTTAAAATCCAAAACACCACTTGTCAAAATTTGGCATCCAAACATTTTAAAATGCCTTTCATTGCATGAAACTTGAACATCACTCCATTAAAAATCTTCACAAGGCTTACCCATCAGTCTTAACACATTTTGAAACACTCCTAAGGCCAAAATAGCAATTGATCAAGGCTAAAACCCTTGGTGGCAATACATCACATAGTCTCCATGGGATGAGATTCATTACTTGTATGACCATGTAATATTGTGTGCAACTTTGGATATAACATGTTTTGGCATCATTATTGGACATTATATTCCCTAATACTGACACGAAGTTAATTTTTCACTACATAAAATATAATTTTATTTTATTTTTTTGTATATTTTATTTTCCATTTATCTTTTTTAGGAGCCGCTTGTACCGAATGCACAATTTTTGTAGTGAGCCACCCCTTCCATTTGATCCAAAGATTGGGAGGAAATTATTAAGTAGACTCATGGAGGAGAGGTGAGGCAAGAGTTCTGCGCCATTTTCTATGGCACAATAGGAAGACGCTCCATGCCTATCCATGGGGGCAATCTGAATACCGTTATGAAATTTTATTCTCACCTCTCGAGGTGATATACTTTTTCTAACGAGACAATTTGATTTTAGAATTTAATTTTAAGTCTCAAAAAAAACTAATATTTTTAAAATATGTTTTCAAAATTCCACCATCAGAGATCAATTTGGCCATACTACAAATGATCTAAACCACTTAAATTTTAGGTTGGCTATTGAGGACCTATATTATCATATAACAAAAAATTTGGAGATATGTGATGCAATCAAATTAAGATTATTAATGTTTTCTTTGAGGGAAAAAATAAGAGCTAGATCAGTTATTGCCTAATTATTCTATCATTAGTTGGGATGATCTAGTATAAAAGTTTCTTTCAAAATAACTCCCTTTAAAGAAGATGGTTCACATGAGGATTGAGATCTCAAATTTTGTGCAATTAGATGAGGAGACACTATATGATGCCTAGGAGTGGTATAATATTTTTTTAATAAAGTATCCACATCATGGGATACTTAAGTGGATGCAAGTCCAATCTTTTTTTAGTAGTTTAATTAGGACTACAAAGATATTGATTGATGCAACATCTAGAAGCACTTTTATGAGCAAAACATAGAAGGCAACCTATGATTTATTGGATGAGATGGCCATAGATGGTTATCAATACCCAAGCAAATAACATTTGTTTATGAAACCTGTTATAGCTATGCATGATTAGATCTATAAATAGCTCTCAATGCCTAGATTTCTTCAATAATAAAGTATCCAAACTCATTTATTATCTATTTTGCCCATGCACTAGTTCTTTATTTTGATTTATATAGGTAATTAAATGAGAAAGATTGCAAGTTAATAATCTATTTGTCTAACCTTAGTTAAAGTAGTTGCACTTCATTGTAAATTAGCAGCCTAATAATCTATGTGTAGCACCTACAATCTAAGGTGGAAGAGACGCCAAAAAATTTCAATGAAGAATTAATAAGCAAGGGAAGTAACCTAATGGATTTTAGCATCCACTAAGATTTGAAGAGCTTTGTTATCAGCAACAACCATAGAAGGATGGAGAGGACACACTCAAATACATTCTCATGCAGCTTACTATTACTACCACTCAATTCATATCATATACTGGTGCTACATTAAAACAACATGAAATCTCAATAATATGAAAAGAGACCACACCATAAAATATTGAAGTGCATATATTAGTTATTTATCATAGTAATTTTCATTACTGCCTCCTAATAATCTCCTAACCAATACTAAGAAAAACCCACAAGATCACTTGAAAGCTATCTATTTTAGGTATGGAAGTCTATTACAGAACCCAAAAAGACGTGGCATAAGATGCCCATGTAAGAGTGGAATAATATTTAGAGCCAAGAGCAAGAAGAAGGTTAATTTATCAAGGTTGAATGACAAGGAGCAAAATAAAGCTATTAAGTAGAATCTATATTTTATATGTTTGATGATTATGGTTTTAGACTATGTTTTTGTAATATAATTTTGTGGTTATAAGTTTGATTTAAAATGTGAATTTCAAAATTTTAAAACTTCAATTTAAAAATTTAAAATTTTAAAAATTTGAAGTTTAGATTTTCAAATATTGAGGGAATTTATTTTTTTTTTAATATGAAAACTTTTATTTAAAGTAATTTTCCAATCACGGTTTGATGGACAAAGAAAAAAGGAGGTGTAGTTATTTGATAACTATCTCATTCTCTCTCCCTCACACTAGGGTGGTCGATCGCCCTCTCCTTTTCTCTCTCATTATGCTTTTCAAATTTGTTAGTTTTAAACCTATTTATATTTGTTGGAATGGAAAGTGAAGTGGTTGGTATTTTTTTTGAAATTTTGGATTTTATTCTGAGGAAGAGGGGGCTTGGTGTCCATCTTCATAATTGAAGGAGTTTGATGATTCCTTCAGGCCTTCCCACTTTAGTAAGTGGTAAGTTCTCGTATATCCTTAATCCTACTTATCCTTGGTTATATAAATATTCTAAAATCCTCTCCCCATACTCCAATACCAAATATTCATCTATTTACCAACAAAAATTCATTCAAAAATCTTTTAAGAGCTCTCGGCTAAGACTAGGTTGAATTTGACCCCGTTTGGTTCCATACCCAATTTGACTAATCAAACCCCTTAAAAATTTATCAAACCTTTCTAAATTTAAGTTGAAATACCAAATAATCATTCATTTTTAGGAGTTTCAAAGGCTTGGGCTTTCAATATTTAGAAACACTAAAAACTTAAATACCTAGATGGTAATGACCACTAGATTCCTTTCTCCACCACTCAGCCTATTTTCTTTACTTGGGAACTTAAGACCAATCTTATTAAATTTTTATAAATATTTATAAAAAATCCTTTAAAATATTTATAATTATTCCATACATAATCATGTCTTCACCAAAAATTCTAACCCAAGGACACACTAAAGTGGATGTCAGAACCCAAGTTAGAGGAAGAAAATTGGAGGCTGTCACCAATAATATTGGATGCTAGGTAAGGAACTTGAAATCAGTGATTTGAAGCCATAGAAAAATAAACTAATATCTTATTTTTGCATTTGTATACACATTTTTTATGATTTTTTAATTTTCTATTGTAATGATTAGAGGCTAATTACTTGATTGAGCTAGTTATTTGAACTAGTGTCAACTACCTACTCCACTTTTGATTGCCTAATAAAGTTGCTGGAGTGAAATCACATAAGTAAGGGGTTGATACACTTTGCAAAATAAGTCTTTAATAAGGCTATAATCAATATCATATCCTTACATTACAAACATATGCTCTATTGAAATTTTTTGTAAGAAATTTTTATTTTAATCATTTTTACTTATTTATTATATCAAAGTAAAAATATCTAAAATTTAAAAAAATTTCTTCATAAAAAATTTAAAAAATTTTAAAATATCCATACATTAAATACTTTAATAAAAATTATCCTAAATTGCATCAATACTTCATAGAACATCCCACCAAAATGTGTTACCATTGATTAAGTAGATTACATATCAGGAAGGGAAGAAAAGGATGCCTTACAAAATATGGAGACATTTTATAAATTAAAAAAAAAAAAAGATTTAGAACCTAACTACCAAACTGTAATTCATGACCATTAGGATGTAAGTCCAGCCACCCACCAAGAATAAAGTTGAAACTGATCTTATATAAGAGGAATTTGTGGAAACCCTACGAAGGCCATCTATTTAGAAGAGACCATTTTAAAAACCATAATAGAAATAATCATCATAAGAATCATGGCCATGTAGATGAACCTAAAAAGAAGGTTAAGTTAGAACCTCCAACCTATGATGGTGTTCATGACATCAATAGGTTTATAGACAAGCACACCCAAATGAATTTTTTTTGTTACCATATGGATGAATACAAAAGAACCACCTTTGCTAAAATAAAATTAATAGTATATGTAAATAATCATTGAAATAATATTTTAGCAAAACAGGAGAGACTAGTTGTGATATTTTTGTCTTTGTATAAATGAAAGAAATATTGATCACTAAATAATTCCCTAAAAATTATGAGAAAAAGTTCCCTGAACAATTGATGAGATTTAAGAAAGGGAACATAGCTACTTTAGCTTACAAAAATATTTGAGGAACTTATACCTAGGAGTAATTCCCCTAATTAAGGATTTCAATTAGCCAATAAATGTGTATTGTACTAAGAAATAATATGAGGAAGGAACTAGAGCTATAAGATCACCAAACTGTAGAAGATGCTTTTAAGTATTCTATAATGCTTAAAAAGCAAGATAAATTAGCATTTGTATTTATATCTAAGGGTGGATCTATGTATCAAACTTCTCGACTTCAAACCAAACTTCTGCTGCTAATCTTTTCCATTCATCCTTCAATGTCCCACATATTAAGATAACAAATGAACCAACTTCTAAGAATAAATAAAAATGTATTTTCTCTAAATTCCATAAAGAATGGCACATGCCAAAATTAATATAAAGAAAAATTATGTTCTTATATGAGATAGAGGATTTAAGGAGAAGAATGTTAGATCCATGATGATCCTTCCTTGTTTGATGGCAACATAGACTACCCTATTGAAGATCAACTGAGTGACATGATGTGTATGATAGTGGCTAGAGATGAATATTTATATATATATATATATATATCACCATGCATATTATGCGTAAACAAAAAAGATGTAAATTGGTTATTGATGTATGCTTTGAATGTTATCTCTATCCATACACTTTCAAGAATAAACCTAAAACTAGAACCCCATCCTGAAACATTTCTTTTGAGCTAGGTAAACCACACCTATTTAGTCTTCATATCTTAATGTGTAATACATATTAAGATATGTAGTTATAAGGATCATATTTTGTATGATATCCTTCTCATGGACATAACACATATCTTTCTAGGTAAACCTTGGTTCTTTTACTTAAATGTGATACAATATGATCAAGAGAACATATGTATGTTTAAACATCATGACAAGTCCATAAGGTCTTTCCCAATAAAGCTTATAAAAAATAAGTATATGGGCTTTTCTATAAACGTATCTCTAAAATGTAGCCCAAACTAGTTAGAATAAAATTGTGAAGTTAAAACTCATAGTGATATCATCACTTGTAGTTCAGTAAATAACTTTTTATCTTTACCACTAAAAATACTATACTATTTCCGCTATTAGTAAGCATTATCCTTGAAAGGGTAGGATTCAACATTATGTTGAGAGAGTATTTTACCCCACTTATTTTTTATTCTCTTCGATGAGATTGGTGTGGGTTTGGTGTATGAATTAAGTTGAAGAGATTGTGCGGGTTTGGTGTATGAATTATGTTTATGCTACATGTTGAAGAATGATTAAGTTTTCCTTAATGTTCAATACCCATCAAATACGCAAGTGTATGTGGTGATCAAGTAATAAAGTGATTGAGAGAGTATTGATCCTATAAGAAAATGTTATGCTACCGTACAAATGAATAAAAAACTGCTAATAAAATTTAAATATTATTCTATTGAATAAAAATATGGGTTGAGATTCTATCTTTACTGAGACATGCCAAAGAAAAGAAAAGATACTAGATGATTAAATTTTTTGGACTACTGATTGTAAATTACATAAGTTTTCATAAGTAGACTTTTCTATATTTGATGTGGATTAAAGCAAATGCATCCTTAGATCTCAGTCGAGCTTATAGGAATATAAATCAAGGTTTATGACCTTCCTAAGATTATCATATCTCTATAAAACTTGGAATGCTAAACATCCTATGTCTATGCATGCATGAGTTTCAACCCAACACTTCTAATTATTCTAATATTTCTCTATCGAGGAAATATATCACACTTAATTTTAACTACACACATTATCATTCTATGCATTAAATTAAAAATAGGAGATAGTAAAAATATGCATTATTCATTCAAAGCATAAGAGTCTACATTAATTAGTACTTGCAATGAATTCACGTCATTATCCCAAACAAGGAAATTAGCTAGTCTTAGAAATA